TTTTAAGGATTGGGAAGGAAAAAAAGGGAGGGGGGGGGGGGGGGGGCCCGGTCAAAACCCGGAACCCGGGCCTTGGACCGGGTCAACCACCGGGCCGGGTTTAAAAATTATGAGGCGAACCCATGCCTCTGTGAACTGTAGCAGTCCATAGTGTGCATGGGAGCAGCACCACAGTAAAAGGAAGTCGAAAAACCATCCTGTTTTAGTTCTTTGCGATGTCCGCCAATCAATCATTGGAATCAAGACAGCAAACCCATAACTGATCCCTTCCTACTTTCTCATAGACGAAATGATAATCAATTTCTACGTGCTTCGTACGACCATAAAAGATCTCACAGCCAAATACGTAGCCCTCACATTGTCACTCCAAACTGTCGGTGGAACTGAAACTAGAACTCCAAGTTCTGAAAGTAATGGCTGTACGTAGCCAAGTGACTTCAGCAATCCCATCAGCGACAGCTTTATATTCAGACTCAGTAGATGATCGTGCCACACGTTGCTTGGCCTATTTCCAGCTGCTAAATTGCGCCCAAGAAGCGCGAAAACCAGCAGTAAACTTCCTGTCCTTCAAGCTTCCTGCCTGATTAGAATTAGAGAAGACTTGGATTGCCATACTTGAATATCGTGTGAAGAGTAGGCCTTTGTCAAGTGTGCCCGTGAGAAATATCAATATTCTTTTTACTGCCACCCAATGCTCCTCATATGGATCATGCATGGTAAAATGACAGACTCGATTGACAGCAAGAGCTAAGTTTGTACGAGTGAGAGTCACATATTGAAGAGCTCCCACAGTTTGCCTCTACTCAGTTCCATCTTGCAACGGTTTAACAGCTTGTTTTACAAGTGCACGTGAAGGGCTCACAGGTGTAGTAACAGGTTTTCTAAAAACCAGACCTTTTTTGGCCAACAATTCTTGGATATATTTTGCATTGAGTTAACAGTAACCCAAACTTAGTAAGCACAACCTCAGTACCCAAGAAATAGTGTAATGTACTAAGATCATGTACACTGAACTTAGAACCCAAAGAATACAAAAGCAGTGATAGATGGAGAATCATTACCAGTAACAAGGATGTCGTCTACATAAACCAAAATATAAACCTTGATCTCACCATGAACATAATAAATGAACAAGGAAATGTATGTGTTTATCCAACAAAGCCATGCTCTGAAGAAATAAACTCAAACGTTGAAACCAAGCACGTGGAGATTGTTTTAAACCATACCAGGACTTCTGAAGTTTGCCGACAAAACCTGGATTCTCCACATCTCTGAACTCTTGGGATTGCTCCATGAAAACAGTTTCAGTTAAAGACCTATTGAGGAAATCGTTATGGACATCTAACTGCTTGATTGACCAATCATTAGTCATAGTATAATTAATGGATAGGACGTCAATCCAAATTGTTGCTAGCTTAACGACTGGACTAAACGTTTTCTCATAATCGACCCCTTCTCGTTGATGGCACCTCTTTGCTACCAACTTTGCTCTACATCGATCTCTCTAGACTTTCATCGACTTTGGCTTTAACTTTATAAACCCACTACACTCGATAACATGCAACTCGGGTTCTCATCAGAACCAAGGACTTGGTACCGTTGGGTTGTAACGCTCCAATCTCTTCATACATGGCTGCTCGCCACTAAGGAGACTTATTGGCTTCTGTATAAGAGCGAGCTCTATAGCTAGGTTTTCGTTGTGCTTGGCATGGCAACCATAGCTGTGGATTTAAATGTGGTTTGTTAGGTCGAGTTTTGTGATGGTTGTAAAGGTTTACCAGAAGCAATATCGCACTTAGAAAAAATCAACAAACAATTGTTAGCCTTCAGTGTTAGCTACAAGAGAGGAAATTAATCCCCCCGGTGAGAGTTTTTGAAGCTTGGAGAATTGGAGTGGATTGGTTGGATAATAGGCTGGAACTGGTAGATATTACTTGGGCTGGGGAAGTTGGGCTGGAGGGCTGGGAGTTATATTGTGATGCTGGGTTTGTTAAAGATTCCACTGAATGTTGTGATTGGATGTCGGGCTGGTTCGGGGCTGGAGAAGGTGACAAAACAAGACTAGAAGCTGGGCTACAAGTTTCTAAATTTGAAACTACTGCAGAAGAATGCGTGCTTTTGCCATCAAAGTTAAACGTGCATCAACAATGTCAATGTACCTTTGATGATGCTAAATGATAGGGACATTAGCACTTTCTAATTCATTCACGCTTAAAGGTTTCCATTCCTCCATTCCTGCAGTGTGGCACTATTGCTCTTCCACTGCAGCATACCCAGTGATTCCTGTTATATATGCTGCTGTGATATCACCTCTAGTAGAGCAGGATTGCTCGGCCCCAGGATAACAGGACATTTTTCTGTGATCAAATAATGATCATTTCACCATTATCATAGGCCAGAACCACTTATAACTTATGAAAAGACATAGGAAGAATAAAAAGAGAGAAGAAAAACTAGTTATGAACAGACAAGTGATTTATGTATCATAGGAAAATGAACTATATTTGGTTTGGTTTCAACTAAATATTTTAGCAGCTACCCGGTGTAAGAACAAGAATATTAATACTACAATATGATGAAGAAATTCCACTCTCTTCACCATCTCGTGAAAGAATTGAAATTGAACCTCTAGTTTGACGTTGCTCATGACTATTGCTAGATTTGATTATACTAGCTGAAGTTCCTTCATGATCATTAAATCTAGTTTTTGTAATTAAAATTGCTTAAAAGTTAGTTTGAAATCGATGATCTCACGTTTATGCTTTATAGAGCTAGGCTTGATTGAAAATGCATGAATAAAATATTCAAGTCATATTGTTTCCATTTTCAACATATTTTGGCATAAACTTTAACGGTCACGAGAATATTTTGAAGAAATTGAATTGTGCACTGTGTACCCATGTATATCCCCTTCTAGTTTTCCAAGAATTTATGTCATTTTGTATTTAGATGCAAGTTGTAATAATTTTAAAGTGTAATATTACATGAAAATTGTAACTTATTTGATTTTACATATTACATTTTATCTGGTAGAAAAAACATACATTTTCTCCATAAAGATGAATCAATTATTCATGATATTTAGAAAGATAAGGTTAAGATTCCGTCAATTGAAAAAAACTCACAAAAAACTCACATCATATAAAACACTAGAAATATTATGAACTAGCTTAATAAGAATACACTTGAATAAACAATGATTACTAGAATGATCAAAGATATTGGAACCGCTTTTAAATTCTAAAAAAAATTAAAATCTATAAAGAAAAATCAATTAATTGAAATGAATAACAAAATAAACACTCATTCTAGAAATATAATGTCATTTGCATTATATTAAGTTAGCATGATAATGATTTTTATCTTGTTTAAGATAATAAACTTTAACTTTTTATAATTATCTTTCCTATTTTTCATTAATGTTAATAGCAAGTAGTAAAGAATTTATATTGAGTGATATCTTTTCAGCGTTGCATTAAAGTGTTAAGCAATCTGATATCTTTGTATACAATAAGTATAAAAAAGTAGAACTAACGGTACTTTTATTTATTTTGTATATAATTTAAATAATATTTAATACTTAGATGAATTTATTATCCCATGTAATTTTTTATAAAAAATTTATAGAAATAAAATGATTTCAAAGTATATAACTCATTAAAAAAATCATTGTTCATTTAATGAAACAATTTGGTGTGTGGTTTTAAAAAAGTTACAAAAAAATAAGGTAAATGATGCATATAGTATGCAACGTTTATAGTTAGTATAAGTTTTTCTTCACATTTCTATTTAGTGTAGTCATTATATCCTAGTTTATTTTATCAAGTATTGTAAGAGGAGATTAAAAAAATAAAAATGATCATATTTACAAGCTAAAACGGGAGAAGACTTCTATAAAATGATATCTTAGAAACAACTTCGGATATCATTTTGTATGTCACACCCATGGCTCCATTGAATCTACCAAATGTTGCCTTATCGAGATACCACCAGATGTAACTTCACAAATAATGACACTCACACATCTCCACTTGTACATAAACATAGGTCTTGATTGCTATATCAAATTCTACCTTACGTTGATCTATAATATCCTAGTTTGTTTTCATTACAAGCATAATAATTGTATCTTTTTATTGTATTGTGATTTATTTGCACTAATATAAGTTTAACTTAATTTTAAATTGTATTATGAATTTTAAATTTTAAAGTAGTTTTAAATATTAATGCATGTTGTTTATATATGTTCTAATGCTTTTAAAATATCCATTAATAATTAATAAAATAATAATAAATCAATAAAAAACTGATAAATTAATTAAAAAAATACAAAATTCATATAACCAGCAACCATAAATTTGTATATGATGTTTTTTATTGGTGATTTCATTGTTAATTTTTTTTAGCGATGGATCTTAGTTTTATTCGCAACAGATTAGATTCTTGCTTGTAGTTTTATTTTTTTTGACAGTGAGAGATTTTTTACTTTTTAAACTGTTTATCTTTCTTTTCCTCGTTATAATTACTGAAAAACACCGAAAACAAAATTATTGGCACATGGCTTGGAGATTTTTGCGCAGTGATGTGTTAATTAAGAAATGAAGTCGAGGGGACAGAGGTGGTAATGACGACTAAACCTATTTTAGAGGCCATATTAGCTGCAAATTTATTTATATGATTACATAAATAATACGACTACTTTATCATATAATTTGCAGCAATTTCAGGGATGTGACAACACTAGAAAAACACAAATAAAGATTAGAAAAAAAAAATGATTTCGAGTCAATTTCAAATCCCACTCACATGTCACAGATAAACTGTATATAACGAGCGTGAAAGGCGAAGCAGGTTCACTGCCTCTTGGAGTTACATCTCCTTTTCTTTAACATGATTAGACAATGATTAGCTAGAGATATGCTTTTGATTACTATTCTTCTTTCCACGGTTTTGTCTACTTGATCAAAAGCTTCTATTTTCTTCGGTTAGGCTACGGAATTCTCCTTTAATTAAGAGCTCGGAGATTGAGCAAAATAGAGAGAGATTCGAGGAGGGGCGCCCCTTCACCGTAAGCTAATTACCTGCTCTGTTTCTTTCTTGCTTTCAGCTATGAAGCGGTTCAATTCCTCAGATCCCCTGGCTGCTTTCATCTCCATTTCTTCTTCAAAAGGTAAACAAAACTCCACGTCAAGTCAATTTACCAGTGTTTATTCACGCTTGCCCACATGTTCAAGTTTGTTTTAAATGGGTTTCGCTCTATGGGCTACCAAATGATGCCTTGGTTCTGTACAACTTTTGAGTTTTTTTTTTTTCCTGTCCTGTTAACATCACTAACATCTACTGTTTGTGACCTCGCTAATTCAGAAGAGAGGACTGAAAAGACCAATCAAGGCTACAGTAGAGGTTTTCAATCAATGCTGGATAGTCTTGAAGAAGAAGACTACTCTGAAGCAGCCAGCCATGTAGGTGAGAAGAAACGAAGGTTGAACTTGCATCAAGTTAAGGCCCTGGAGAAGAATTTTGAGGTAGAAAACAAGCTTGAGCCAGAGAAAAAGCTGAAACTAGCTGGAGAATTAGGCATGCAGCCACGACAAGTAGCTATTTGGTTCCAAAACCGTCGTGCCCGTTGGAAGACCAAGCAATTGGAGAGAGATTATGGCATTCTTAAGGCCAATTATGAAGCTTTAAAACTTGATTACAGTAATCTTGAACAGAAGAATGAAGTCTTGGCACAAAAGGTTTTGCCTCTAGATTTGCTAATAGGCTGAGTTGGTTGGTTTTTATTTGCTGGATAATTTAGTTACTAGTTACGTTCTTTGTTGCTTGAAATTCAGGTAAAAGAATTGAAAGCGAAGTTGAGTGAAGAAAACGTTGATAGCAGCCACTCTGTTAAAGAAGAGCACCGCGTTTCAGAGTCAGACAACAACGCCTCAGTGCACTGTAAGAACCGTGATTTCAGTGGAAACAACAATCCAAGTGCAATCACCAAAGACCACAGCAATATTTCCTCTTCGCATGAACTGATGAACTTGTTTCAGTTATCTGATTCAAGAGTTATTTTGGGGAATATATATCAAGTATATCAACCTCATCTTATGAAACCGGAAGAGCAGAGTTTGTTTAGCACTGAGGAATCATGCAATTTCTTTTCAGTTGATCAAGCCCCCACTCTTCATCGCTATTTTCCTGAGCACTAGAGTTGGTGTAGTTTTAAAAAGGTTCAAGTCTGCTTTTGCAAATTCTCATTGTTTTTTAGGACTTCACTTTATGTTCTCTTAATGCGAAAAAACACAAGCTAAACACCTGCAATCATGGCGGGAACAGTGAGGCTCTACCACTGGATTTGGTGTGAATAACCATCTCACAGCAACCAATGCTATTGGAGTTGCCAGGTCTTCATCTGTCAGAATCAGCCAAAGCAATTTAAATCGCTAATAAGTAAACTCTTGATTTAGCTGTTACATGCTGCATGCCCCCACACAATAATTGGGTGCAGAAGATCTGGCATCAACCATTCTTGTGTCATTCGCTTTTGCATTAACTATCTTTTTTTATTACGAGATTGACTAGCGGGTCAATTCGGAAATTTAATAGCAGCCAAGATTGCTAAAATTATTTTATTAACTTGTAAAGTTGTATGATTTTACAAGTTAAAACATATATTATGTATTAAATTATTTAAAAAAAAATAAAAATAGATAAAATTGAGTTAAAATCTAGTGAAATCACAAAGATCAGATAAAATCGTGTAAAATCATGATTTCAGAACTGATTTTGTGATTATGCCAAAATAATATACTGAAACAAAATTTTCCCTCGTAGTCCAATTATAAGGTGTCTATTTGCCGTGGAATCCACAGCCACGTGATTGTCTTCTTCACTCTTCAGTCTTCACAAATCACAACTTATAAAATACTCTTCTTTTTTTTTCCAACCGAACAAATTCCTAATCGGCTAATCCCTAATCCCCTTATCTAATTAACCAAATGGGCACCGGCAACCATAAAAGTAGCGACAATGATCTCCATTCTCCACAAAAGCGATCACGGTCCAGTCTTCACTCCTTCTCTTTTCTTAGTGCTCACGATCGCGGCTTCTTTTTCTGTTTATCGCGATTTTAACAGCGACGACGATCTCCTTAATAACTCACGGCTTCGGCCTTCCTCTTCAATCTTCATTAATAGCGGCACGCCGACAACGATCTCCTTTCTTTCCCATCTTCAACAGTAGCAGGTGACATCAGGCCTCTTCACCAGTAGCCGTTTAGCAATTATCATCAACGACTCATCACCGTAAGTTCATTTAGCCTTCATTATCATCACTGCAGTAGTTGATTTTGCCCCTGTAATAGATTTTTATTTTGCCCTGTTAACTGTTAGTTTGTTACCCTGTAATTATTAATTACAATTTTGATTTTGCCTGGTCCTATAATTTGTATTTGTATAATGTTGAATTGAATTGAATGGAATTGATCGGGTGAAAATTGGATGGATTGAATAGATCAAGTGAGAAAATTGTTGAATTGAATGCCATACTGCCACAGTATATATCTTAACTGAATCAATAATATTAATCGGGTGAGAATTGGATTGAAAACTGTTGAATTAGACTAAATTTAATACCATTTCAGTATTATAGGACTGAATTAATTGGACTGAATTGAATTAAATTAATGGGCTGAAAATTGAACTGAAAAGTGTTGAATTGGACTGAATTTAATGTTATTTCAGTATTATAGGACTGAATTAATGGATGAAAATTGAACTGAAAATTATTGAATTTGACTAAATTGAATGTCATTTTAGTATTATAGGACTAAATTATTTTTTATTTGAAGTATGAATTTTTTGTTAATGTATTTTAAATTTTTTTATAATTTTACGATTTATTTTTACAATTCAAATTTATATTATATTTTCCATGCCATGTTAAAATCATGATTTTGACAACTTTGATAGCAGTGCAGAGTTAGACTTCTATTAGACTTTTTATCGAGACATAATTTCTGCTGTTGGTATGTGCTCTAAAAACTGAAGGCCCTCTTGTTGCGATATGGTGTATGGTATTTTTTTATTTATTAAAAAATATATTAAAATAACTATACACACACATTGATATTGATATTGATATTTTAAAATTATCAAAAAATACTAAAAAAATTATTAATATAATATTTTTAAAATAAAACATACTTTTAAAATAAATACAAAAATAAAAATGACTGTAATCCCAAAAATATATATTTCCAAACAATCAAGTTATCCCATCTTTAGGATATTATAGGTTTTGACTATTTATAAGCTGTTTTCTTGGTTGAAAACTTAAGGTAATTTGTTTGCTGAAAAGTAAATTTTGGGATAGTAAATTTTAAGAAAATAAATTATTTTTTGATATTTAATAGTATAATAAAAAATAAATTAAAAAATACTTTTAAGTATTTGGTTATGTTATGAAAAATAAACTAGAAAATAACTTATTAATATTTTATTTTTCTCAAGTTTATTAAAATAATGAGGAACAAATCTTACAAATTAAAAAGTTGGACAAGAATTAAATTGAAGGAAATATAATTTTATAAATTATCTCGAATAAAATAAATAATAATCAAAATAATATAAATCAAATCTAAAGAATAAAAAAAATAAAAGATGAAGAAATTAAAATAATAATAATTAACATTTCATAAATTATTTCAAATAAAATAAATAACGATCAAAAGAATGAGGATCAAATGTGATGGATAAAAAAATTTAATAAAAAAATGATAATGAAAAAGAAAATAACAATTATAAAAATGAGAATCGAAATTAATATAAAAATTAAATTTTAAGAGATAAAATTAAAAAATAAATATTCAAAACAAAATATATACAACAATAAGAAGTTTGATGATCAAATTTGATAAAATCAATAAATAATAAAATATTTTTATAATTTTTATAATTTTTAAAAAGTGTTTTCTACTTATATTTTTCAGGAAAATATCTTTTTAAAAATCAAATCAAATTTTTCTTTCGCTAGAAAGCATTTTTTATTAATCAATTTTTCTAATGACAAATAAATATAAGTTTAAAAAAATTATTTTTTTAAAAACTAATTTCTCAAAAATAAACACAGCTTAAGTTTTGTATTACATAGAAGATCTTGAAAATAAAAGTAAAAGCATTCACTTTTATTCCAGGTTTTTTGGTTTTTTTGTAAATTAGTATAATAATTTAAAAATTTTAACAAAATAATACTATTTAAATTTTTTTAGTAAAGTAACATATTTTTCCTTTGTTGTTCATTAAAAACACAATATTTACTCAATTTTATTATTCACAAGCGTGATAGAAAAAAATTGTTCCACTTTAAAAATCACATGTGATGAAAAATAATTTCAAAGAAGAAAAGTCCTCATCATTATTAAGCGTGTATCTTTAAAAAATAAAAATATATGAAAATATTTTTTTTATTTTTTAAAAATTATTTTTAAGATCATCATATTAAAAAAAATTAAAATATAAAAAAATTTTAAAAATATAATTTACATCATATTTTCAAATAATTTATAATTTATAGGTGCTAATCCTTTCCCCCCTACCGTTAGTCTATTACGTGTTTAAATTGGAAGCAGTGATGGGTTGCTAGTTTTACACTCTAACCTGCAAAAGTAGAAAGAAGATTAATTTGTTATTGAAAATACAGAATGGGTGGTTTAAAGCTTGAAAGTTGAATCCACGTTTCGAAAAGGCTGAAAATATGCTGAGAAAAGATTGATTTGTTGCTGAAAATATGAAAAGGCTGCCATTTGAGAGAGAGAGATAAACTGGAGAGAAGCTGTAGAAGGCTGTGATTATAAAATTTGGAGGGCAGCCATAAGTACAAGCCAGGAAAACGTGATTCACCTAATTATAAACAAACAATAATTCACCGTCTCTTTCTCTCATCCGATTCACAAGCACAAACAATAATTATCATTTAAAAAAAACTTTTCAAACAAAATAAAAAAAATATAGTAATTTAAATATAAATTGAAAAGGATAGGGAGATAAAACCATGAAAAAAAACAATTAATTTAAAAAAATAAAAAAAAGGAAATAAAGGCTATGCGATTACATCTTTAAATTAAAAAAAAACAAATAACATATCATCTAATTTATTCGGTTTTCATTTACGATGGTGGTTGAAAAATTAAAATTTAAGTTTTTTAATAGAAAAACACTTATAAAACATAATAAAAACTGTAATAAACCTATTATGGTCTTAAAAAACCTCTCCAAAAACCAAAAACATCCTAAATATAAAAATAAAACCATGTTTTTTTTATTTTTTTAAGAACTTTAAACATACAAAAACACTTAATATGAAATTCACTTATCAAATGAAACCACTTAATACAAATATAATATATTTTAGTGATCTAAATTAGTATTAATGGTTTTTTTTTATTACCAAAATCTTACAAGTTTTTTTTTTCTTTCTCGATCATAAACTAAAAATAATAAAAATAAAATTTTATATTAAAATTAAATTAAAAAATATTAAAATTATATAATTTATGTGATTTTTAAAATTCTAATATCAAAATATATTTTTTGTGAAAATTATAGCATGCTTTTCATGTCTGGTATCTTTTTTATTTTAATTCCTTTTCTTTTAATCCTATTATTTTATAATAAACTAAAATTAATTGATCTTTAATTAAAAATAAATTACTAAAAATAAATATTTTAAAATCAAATTAAAAAAATATAAAATTTTACGTTAGCTATCCAGAATAACAATGAATAAGAAGAACAACAACGTAGTTAAAAAACCCAGTCGTCGTTTTAAAGTGACACATACATACCTCTCTATGACCCTATAAAGACTAGTAATGTCACCTCTAATTCACCTCTAAGAATATTTTTTAAAAGAGTTTTAGAAAGGTATTTGTGAAGATAATAGCAGTTAAATGGTTTTTTATTTTATTTTTTAAAATTTATTTTCAATGCAACAAACTAAAACAATTTAAAAAAACTAAAAATAAATTAATTTTAAAAAAATAATAAAATATTTCAAAAACAACCATGGTAGCCAAATTAATAAGTTGTTAAACAGGGGGGCCGGAGGGGACATGGGTCTCTTTCCATTTTTCTTTGAAATTTCGAGTAGGAAAGAGACTGACTAAAAAGCTGCTGCGACTCCTAGCTCCTTCAAGTCACTTTCATGCCAGAAACCGGGACCCACAATGTCACCCATGTTTGACTGTTGTGCCCGAATGGAATCTTGATGGCAGATTTCCATGACGTCATCGCGGGAATCCCTAGAAAATACACCAACTCCCACACCCTCCATTCCTTGCACGGCTCGAGTGAGGCGCGTCATACAAGACTCACGACCCCTTTTCCTTTCAATATTGGTGCCTAACGTTCCGTTTAAATTTCTATAATTTTTTATATTTTAAAAGTATTTTTGAAAAAACTTAATTTTAAATTTT